GTAGCAGTACTTCAAGTAGTACTACTACGAGCAGCAGCAGTACCTCAAGTAACACTACTACTACGACCATCAGTACCAGTACCAGCACGAGCAGCAGTAGTACCACAAGCAGCACTACTACTACCACTAGTACGACAACAAGTAGCAGCAGTACCACAAGTAGTACTACTACCACGACTACTACTAGCAGTACTACTACGAGCAGCAGCAGTACTTCAAGTACAACTACTACCACCACCAGCAGTACTTCAAGTAGCACTACTACTACTACTACTACTACTACTACCACCACCAGTAGTACCACTACAAGCAGCAGCAGCAGTACCACAAGTAGTGCTACCACAAGCAGCAGTAGTACCTCAAGTAGCACCACTACAAGTAGCAGCAGTACTTCAAGTACAACTACTACTACCACTAGCAGTACTTCAAGTAATAGTACTACCACGACCACTACTACCAGTACTACTACGGGTAGCAGCAGCAGTACCACAAGTAGTACTGCTGTAAGAACGACAACAACAACAACATCAACATCAACAACAAAAACAACAGCAACAACTGCAACAACGGCGACAACTCCTATACCACCAGCATACTACTGTCCAGGATCGACTATAGGTGCTTATTGTAATGTTACATCAGATACTTGTTCTATGTCACAACCGTGTCTTAATGCAGCAACTTGTTTTCCAGATGCGACAGTACCATTAGGATACAGATGTGGATGTCAAACAGGCTATACAGGTAGTACTTGCCAAAATGATGAAAGAATATGTAAAGACGATACATGTTGGTAAGAAATTATGTTTATTTTAATTTTATTTTATGCAAATTCTATTTCTATAGGAATAATGGAACATGTATTGAAGTGAATTCTACTACGGTTGACAATAATGGCACAACTTTCTATTGTAATTGCAGTGAAAGTTTTACAGGTGTGCATTGTGAACTTAAAGTTAATTTATGTGTTAATATAAAATGTCAAAATCATGGTATATGTCAAACAGTGAATATGAGTTGGAGTTGTATATGCTTAACTCCATCACTTTATTATGGTAATTATTGTGAAATTGAAACAAGTGCACTGAAAGTTAAACAAGCGTTAAGTAGATCATTTGCAAGCGTTGCAATAGCTGCTCTAGTATTAACATGTTCATTTGTTATAATAATGGATGTTCTTAAATACGTGTTCAAAATTGATCCTGTTAAAGCTGAAAGACTAAAACAAGCACAAGCAAAAAAAGCAGTAAAATCAAAAGCAAGAGCACCAAATGTTGCTGTTCGATTTCAATATGTTGCATAATAAACATTCACTCTTCTTATAATTGCTTTTAACATATATATCTTTTTTTTTGCCTCATATCTCTAATAAAAAAATTGCTTTCGTTCACTGTCATATAAAGATAATTAAAAAGAAAGGATGTACAAAAACTGTATAAACACATTTCTAGCAGAAAATGTAACAAATATCTTTTATATATTTACATGATTTGATGTGTACAGAGTAACAATAGGTTTATGAATATTTTTTATTGTGGATAGGCGAAAATGAATCAGAACAATGCAATAGAAACTTAGTAATAACAACTTTTCATAATATAATTTTTTCATCTGTTTTCACAAATATCCACCAAGAGATGGATTAAAAAATACTTTTCTGTTCAATATTCTAACACAAGTAAAATTAGAAGCTTTAAATTAGTTATATTGTTCTTTGAAACAAACCAAGGCCACATAACAGCTTCCTTGAATGTATTATCACAATTAGAACAAATGTCGATTATTTATTCAAATGATATTTACATTTCTAAAACATAAAATACATCCTTCTTATTCTTTTTATATGCCATTATAGTTTAAACTTATTATGTAAATACAAATATATATATTTCTTCATAATATTCTTTGTCATTATTTGTAAATTTATTATAATATGTTTCAAACATTTCCATAGTTAATTATTTTCCTTCATTTCTTAAACAATCACGTAAATCAATATCACTAACAATATATTCTGGATATTGTTGTCGTAGATTATCAACAGTTGTATCAATAGATGCGAAACTTTCTTTTAATTGTGCACGATTACGATCGCGTAACTAAAAAATAAGAAATAAAAAATTTCAAACGAATCTTTCCATCTGATAAACAATTACCATTATCATATTCAAGCATTTATTGAATAGTAATAATCAGTGGAGTATAACTAGAATAAAATGTAATTATTTCATTTAAGATTATATGAAATAGAAAATAACAGATCATCTTGTATAATCTTTCTTAAATTTATTTGAAAATCTTCTTCCTATTTTGATTTCAGACCAGATTGACAACGATGAAGAATAGTTAAAATAGATTTATTATTACAAAAAAAAAGACAAACATGAATTTAATATAAATATGATCATCAGTTTTGTTTGATAAATTCGTATGAAGCCATCGTACCAATTGAGCTAAATAAATACTCACCAAAAACATATGTACCCAAACCATAAAGATCTTTGTCATTTGAAGATGAAGTGATGTTATCTATATCTAATAAATCAAATTGAATATAGTTCGATTTATTAATGATCGATGAATTTTTAAGATATTTCGATTATAACGTTGAATAGTCATTGAAATAGTCTATAGTATATGAATTATATTAAGATATTTATATACAAGATAACAGTTGGAAAATTTGACTCGTGAGTTCTAATTTATATTATGGCTTTTATCTTGAATATTTTCAAGTCTCTTAAACCAACAAGTAACGCTGGTCGGGAGACTCACTCAGCTCCTTCTCGTAGAAGCCGTATGTCTTCACTATTAGCAAACGATTTATTCAAACAATTTCAAAAACTTGACTTCAGATTTGAGTTCCTCGATCTCGATTAGCGTTGATCAAGTTCTATAGAAAATAATACTTTTTCATTGAGATTATTTTTGGGCCAATCAGTGAAGTGCAGACACACAAACAAGCAAACAGTTTATTCTTACTGTACTCTACGAGAAAAAGAATAAATTTAACATAACGATACACTATAAAAGATTGTTTTTCGATATAGATCGAATAAAAGTTCTTCTATAGATTTATAAGATAATAGCAAATTTCCTATTGGATTATTTTCCTTCGTTTTTGTTCAACATAGAGCTCATCAAGTTCTATTTGAAATAGGAATAAGACCTTTGGATTGCGCTTCTAGATCAATTGCATGTGAAATTACATGATTTCATGGATAACTTCATACTTTGAGTATAAATGTGTTTGCGTCGCGCTCGAATAAACATGATAAATACATATTTTGACTCATAAGAAAGAGGGAATAGAAAAAAAAATGATGAGTAATAAATTTTACTTTTCTACGTTACTTGATGAAAACCAATTTATTTTTCACATCATATATACATATAAAAGGAAACGAAAAAACATACAGATTTATTCAGTATTTCATCATATTTGTAAGTAAAATAAACATTACTTTAGATTCCTACAACGAATATTTATATTGGAAATTTGAATAAATATGGAAATGTCATCAATCGATGAAGCACAAATGAATTTTATTTGTTTATATCCAGATAATGAAATAGAAGATTTGAAAATTCATTTATATGAAATAAATAATTCTTTTAGTTTTCATACAAATATTCAATCGTGTATGACATTTATGAAATTAATTAAAAACGAAAAAATTCTTCTTGTTACTTCTGATTTTTATATTCCACAAATTTTATCACATGTTGATATATTTCATGAAGTTAATTTTCTTTATATATGTTATTCAAATAAAGATCAATATAAATATATATTTTATGAAGATTTAAATATAGTTGGAATTTATGATAAAATTTCTTTATTAATTTCATCAATTCAAGAACAAATTATTTCAATAAATAAACAATTTTATCAATGGGCATTTTTTAATGAAGAAAATTATTTGAAAAGAGATTTATCAAAACAAGCAAATGATTTTCTATGGATTCAATTATTTCATCGTGTCATAACACAATTTCCACGTGATAAACAAGCTAAACAACAACTGATGGATTGTGTTCGTCTTTATTTGGAAGAAAAAAACTTCGAAGAAGAATATGAATCAAATGGTGCTCTTTATTGTTATCGAAAGAATTGTTGTCTTCAGAAAATGATTAATAAAGCATTACAAACAAAAGATATTGATCGACTTTATCATTTACGATATTTCCTTAGTGATCTAAGCGAATGTATATCTCGTGAACATCAACAAATTATTGAATCTGGTGAAGAAAACATTGTTTTTTCTCAAGAAATGAAATTATCAAAAAATGAATTTAATTATTTAAAAGAAAATCAAGGAAAACTTTTGTCAACGAAAGGATTTTTATTTCTTAATTCATTATCGACAAACCTTACTACAGAATTTATAGAGAACAAAGATCTAATTGATGTCATATTACAAATTGAATGTAATATAAAAGAAATGGGTAATAATCACATTTTTATTGATCTAACTCGATTGAATGAAAAAGAAGAAGTTTTGTTCGAATTAAATACAACATTTAGATTGGAAAGTATTCATCAAGATAAACAAATATGGTTGATTAAAATGATTGCCACTAATGATGGTGAACTTATAATCAAAAAATATATTGAAGATACACATCGTCAAATAGAAAATGTGAGTATTTCAATAATTTTTGGTAAATTAATGTGTGATATGAATGAATGGAATCAATCACAAAAATATTTTGAATATTTACTGAATGATTTATCTTCTAATGAAGATTTAGCATGGATAGAACATTCAATGGGTCAAGTTCATCATTGGAAAGGAGAATGGAATGAAGCAAGAATAGTTTATGATCGTGCTTATGATCGAATGATGAAAGCAGATCCAATTCGTATGAAAGATTCTGCTTTAGTTCTTACGAATATTGGTGAAATTCTACATTTACAAGGTAATTATGAAGAATCATACGAATTTCATCAAAAAGCATTGACAATTATAAAACAATATTATTCTTCCAATCATGCATACGTTGCTAATAGTTTAGAAAATATTGCTCGAATTCATCGTAGAGGAGTTAGAAATGATGAGGCTTTGATCGTTCTTCGAGAAACATTAAAAGTTCGAGAAGAATATTATAATGATTATCATGTTGATATTGCGATGAATTTAAATCAGATTGGTAATACTTTACTTTATCAAGGTAATCATAATGAAGTACTTGATTATTTAAATCGAGCGATGTCTAATTATGAAAAATATTATCAATCAGATCATATATACATGGTTGAAACTCTTCAGACTATTGCTTATCTTCTTTATCAACAAGAAAAATTTGATGAATCATATAATATTTATCAACGTATAATGAGAATGGCAAGAGAGTTGTACCCATCGGGTCATTGTATTATTGCTGAGATTTTACTCGGTATCGCTAATATTAGAAATGAACAAGGAATGTATGATGAATCTTTAGAATTGTATCAACAAGCTGTGACAATGCTGATGAACTATTATTCACCTGCTCATTTGGACATTGTTTATTTTTTAAATTCTATTGGTGATGTACAATTACATGGAAAAGTTGATTATGAAAAAGCTCTTGAAGTTTATCAACAAGCTCTGACTATGTTAGAGACATATTATCCATCATATTCTTCACATATTGCTAATTGTCTCAATTACATTGGAAATGTTAAAAAGGCACAAAACCAAAATAATGAAGCTCTTGATTGCTATAATCGAGCACTAAAACTTCAAAAAGATTATTTTTCATCTGATCATATTCAATTGACTATAACTATTAAAAATATCGCTCGCATCTTTTTTATTCAAGGAAATTATGATGATTCACTTGTTTTATATGAACGAGTGTTAAAAATACGTCAAAACAAATATCCATCCGATCATGTCTTCATTTCTTATAGTTTCAATAATATTGCCCGAGTATTAAAAAAGAAAAATAATTTTGATGAAGCTATCCAGTTTCGACAACAAGCACTTGAAATTCAAAAGAAATATTTTCCATCCAGTCATTCTAGTACCATTTATACTCTTGAATCTCTTGGCAATATTTACAAAGCTCAAAGCAAAATCAGCGAAGCTCTTGATTATTATGAAAAAGCATTGGAAATGCAAACAAATTTATATTCTTCAAATAATATAAAACTTGTAAGAAGTTTAAATGATATTGGAAATATCTTATCGAAACAAAAAAAATATAGTCAAGCGCTTGAATTTCTCCAAAAAGCATTGATTATTTTAGAAACACTTAATCCATCCAATCATGTTCAGATAGCTGCAAGTTATATTTGGATTGCCGGTGTTTTAAAAGAGCAAGAAAAATATAACGAAGCAATAAGTCTTCAGAAGAAAGCACTTGAAATCTGTGAAAAAAATTATCCTTCGGATCGTCTTACTATTGCGCATTATCTCACTCATATTGCCACCACTCTGTATGCTCAAAAAAGATACAATAATGCCTTGGAATTTTATCAACAGTCGATGAGAATTTATGAAGAATGTGTTCCACGGAATAGCAAACATATTGCTATTAATTTCAAATCAATTGGTGATACTTTGTATGGATTAAAAAAATATGATGAAGCAGCTGAAGCTTTTGAACAAGCTTTATTAATTGAAAGAAAACAAAATGTGCCAGATAATATTAATATGGGTACTACTCTAAATAATATGGGAAATGTATTATTTAGTCAAAACAAACTTGATCAAGCGTTAGAATTCTATCAAGAATCATTGACATTTAGCGAGGAATTTGATTCATTTAATTATACAACTATGAGCACCACATTATGGAATATTGGCAATGTTTTATGTGCACAAAAAAAGTATACCGAAGCATTCAGTTTTCAACAAAAATCATTGAACATGAGGGAAATATATGATCCTTTAAATTATACGCAGATTGCTTCTAATTTCAATAGTATAGGAACCATAAGAAATAACGAAGGAAACTACGATGAAGCACTTATTCATTATCAAAAAGCATTAACAATCTACGAAAACTATTGTGCATCTTGTCTTCAAGATATGATTGTATGTCTCAATAATATTATCATTGCTTTAAATAGTAGTGGAAAATCTGAGGAAACACTAAATTATCGAGAACGAATATTAGCCAATCAAGAAAAACATTATCCAGAATCTTATACAGACATTGTCAATAGCCTTATAAATATTGGTCACGTTAAATACAGTCAAATGAAACTTGACGATGCTGTTGATTATTATTCACGGGCAATAGTACTACTAAAAGAATTTGATTCAACTAATCATCTTCAAATTGCAACCATTTTCTACTGGATTGGAATTATACGGAATCGACAAAGATCTTTTGATCGTGCAATTGAGTGCCTTGAACAATGTTTAAAAATTAGAGAGGCAAGTCTTTCTCCAGGAGAATCAGATATTACATTAATTCTGTCATATCTCAGTGAAACCCACCAAGCTCGCAATCAATATCAACTAGCTTTGACATATGAAATGAAACTATTTTTAATTCGCGAAAAAGACTTATCACCAAATGATCAAAATATTGCCCAAAGTTTATCAAATATAGGTAAATGTTATGAACATATTAATCAATTCAACACGGCACTTGAGTATTATAAACAAGCATTATATATTTATGTACAATATTCATCAAATTCATTTGAACAAGAAACAATGGAAGATAATATTGATCGACTTTCAACGATATTAAACAACTTAGAAACTGAATAAACTTCTCAATTTAAATTTTTTTCTTAAAGATATACAATACATAACATAAACTTTTGCTAAATCTAAGACACTTGATGATGTGATTGAGCGTGTATAAATAGAAGGAATCCACACTCCCACGCTCAAATTCACCATTCATAATCAAATCCTAGTATTCATATGGTTTAAATCGTTCTAGGATCAATCATTCTTTTAAATGTATAAAATATATAGTAGAACATTCATCGCTGCCTTGGCTATTTATAATTTATATAATAAATGATAAATAAAACAACTCCCCTTTTATTACTTTCGAAGTAAAGGCATTATTGAGTTTTTAGCTTGATTTATAATATAAGTTGGATGAACCATCTACTTTTATTGAAATTTGTTCACATTTGATATCTGTAATATTTCCAGATGAATTAAATTTTATCGCTTGGAAAAATATCGATTGCTTTGGATACTCTATAGTCATAATGATAATTTAGAATTCTACGAATTGTTTTAATACGAATTCTGTGAATAATTTCAAGAATCCGAAAGAAAAATCAGCACTACGCGACAAACCGCGCGGTTTTAGTAAAAACAACGATGAATGGTTTTGTTTTTTCTCTAATTCAATATTTTATCAAAAGGATCGAAAAAGAACTTCGCAAGATTGTATTATATTCTTTTCAAATATCATACTTCACTTAGAAAAAATGAATAACAAAAAGATTTCTCTGTTTATTTCTAATTTATCAAAGTGAATCTTCAGTAAATAAATTCTTTTGTTTTTTTTATTCTTGGATAATAAACGAGGTTATTTTTCTACTTAATAATATCTTTCGTCTATCGAATAACTATTTTTTTTAAAGCTCTTTTCTCGGAATCGAGTGATACATTGAAATAAAAATTTTTCTTTTACTATTATTCTACGATTTTCTGAAACAATATTTTATTATTCTGAATTCGTTGTCAATCTTTTGTTTCTATATTACAATATCACGTCGTTAAGGCTAATTTTTTTAGAATATCTTCAATGATTTAATATATATCTGACAGATAAATATCAACTCTAACAAAGTTCAGAGTTTTATATATTTTTATTATGTGAAATCAGATTGCTGAAATTTTGACACAATCAAACTTCGAATTAAACAGTAATGCCCTTTTGTTAAATAATTTATTTAATAATTAAAAGATTTGAAAGAAAGAAACAATACTGAAAAGAACTCGTTTATTGTACTAACGTGATCGATAATAGGCCTGATGAAGTCTCCATAAAGATAGATATCTCTCTGCTGGTTTCATATAATGAAAGGTAATTCCTCTTCCATAACCTTGTGGTCGAACTTGTAAACCATCTCGAGAAGTGAAATGGTCGGGTGGTTGAGAATTAAACTCTTTTCTATCTAATGGTCGTACATTAGTTTTAATAGTTATGCAGCGAGGAACAGCCTGATCACTATAGCCATCCACGGGCGTTCGATAGCATGAAATAATAAATGGCGGCAGTCTTTCGAATAATCCTCTTGAAATAACATAACCTGCACCACCACAAAATGCTCCTGCACATTCTTGCCCAATCATGAATGATTCTTGAGGATTATATTCTGCAACTAATAAAGCTAAGTTAGGCGGCGAAATAAATGTATCATCATCCAGCACCATGATCCATTGCACTTCAGCACCATCTGCACTCTTATTTAATTTGTCGATGACCATTGCTAATCCACGTGAGACTTTTTGATGACTCCAAGTTGTATCAACTGGTCTCGGTGTTTCCGGTGCAACAACATCATAGATCGGTATTCGACTATCGGATGATGATTCACCAACAAAAAAGAGTCGCGAAGGATGAATAGTGACACCAAATGTACACATCATAATATCACAGCGAGATCGTAAATGTTTATCACCAGTTAAAATCATATATGCAATATTTCCATGTAATGGACCAGGTGGATAAAAATCACCTTGTTTCCAATAATTGTAATCTTCGTCTGTCCAACAATCCGATATATTCTTCGTATAATGACGTGCAAAAGTATTAAATACACGTTTTGGTAATTGTTGTGATATGGATGTACGTGAAGAATTTTGTTGATGAACATAAGAATTGGCAGTTAAAGGATATTTTCCGAGATAAATGAAAACTGCAATAGTTATTATGGTTGCAACCATACTAATAATCATGAATCGTCGTTGATTTTGTCCCTTTGTTAATGCAAGTAATGGTATTAATGAACTAGTTAAATTGTTTTCCACCATTTTTTTATCAACACAATAACAGAATTGTTACACTAAATGAGAGATTAACATCAGAACAATATATAGATTTATAATAAATTACAATTATAGTATTAAAATGTACATCTTTTTTAATTGTTATTTCTACAATTCTTTATCACAACTTACGCTCAAACTATTAGGAGTGTTACTTTATTTTTATTTCTCTTTATAATAAAGAACAACGTAACGAAAATCTTTATCTTTATTTTATAAAGAATAAAGATTTACTTTATGTCTTTACTTTATTTTTAAAATAAAGATTAACTTTATTCTTTATAAAATAAAGATAAAGTTAATCTTTATCTTTATTTATAAAGTAAAGATAAAGTAACACCCCTACAAACTATATTAAAACTTATTTAAGAACAGAATCTTTCAAAAGTTCATTACAAAAAAAAACAAATATCTCTCTAACTCTTCTATCAGTTTTATTCGATTTTTCTATCCTATCGATATTATTACACAATCTTTGAAAGAAAATTTATCAGATTCTAAATATTTATTTCTATATTATAAATAACTTGAATACGCTATACTTATCTGAAACTATAATAAAAATAAAAAACTTTAAAGGTTTCATCAGTATTCTGACTGTTTGTCTAGAAACAAAAGTAATAAAATCAAGTTAAAAATGCACTAGAATACAATGCGTATTGTTCTGAATAAGATATTAAAAAATCTCAAAAATTGTAGAAGGCCATTCTATCATTGACGTCTGTATTTTAAAAACAAGCCTAGTCATAACAATTAACTGCACATGTGCATGACTTTTTCGATTCCTAATTACATCAATATCGTACAATTGTTTATATTAGAATTTTTACGCATGAATGCGTTTGATATTTTTTGTTCGTTGCATGATTGATAATTATTACAGTATATACATATTTTTGTTTTCGTTCTCATAGTCAGTGACAGATAAAAGCAACACTTTTTTTCTCATACTTTCTCTTTGCTTATTCCTCTTCCTATTAGTACTTATGGATGAATTAATGAATCGAAACAGAAAATATTATAATATGTAAACAAATGAAAGTTAAAACAAACTTGACAATAGACGATTCTGGATCAATTAAAAACATTCCTTTTTAAATAATATCAGATTTCACCAGAAAAATACTAATTTAAAATCTTTATTAGACTTATCAAGTCTCGTAGCAAATTATTTACAATGGACGATGATTTACTACATTGAAGTTTTGATTAAACAATTTATGAAATATTTGTTGAATTATATGTAGCAAAGTTTATAGTTTATTTAATAACAAAAAGTAGTTACGTATATTAAAAGCGATGAAAGAGATCTTATTGAAAAAATATGTATCAAATATAATTCAATTTTTTATCAGAAAGGATTTTTTCATTGTGCGAGTATTAGTTGAATCTTATTCTCATTTTATAAATATTTGCTTAGTTTAGTCCAAAATATATTTTATAGTATATGAATATGGGTACTATTTAAATGATCAGTTTTTTTGATCAGCAAATAATGTCAAATGTCAGTAAACACTATTAGGGTGTGTATGTTGAAATTTGTTCGCATTTGATATCTGTGATATGCATAGATAAATTAGATTTTCCAGCTTTGAAAAATATCGATTGCTTTGGATACTCTATAGTCATCATGATAATTTAGAATTTGATGAGTTATTTTAATACGAATTATGTGAATAATGTCAGGAATCTAACGAAAAAATCAGCACTACGCGACAAACCTTGTGTTTGTAGTGAAAACAACGATGAATGGTTTTGTTTTTTTCTAATTTAATATTTGATCAGAAGTATCCAAAAAGAACTTCGCAAGATTCTATTATATTCTTTTCAAATATCATACATCCTTTTGAAAAAATGAATAAAACAAGATTTCTCTATTGATTTTTATTAGGTACTTGCTAATCAAACAGAAACACTTACTAACTATGTATACAAATGATGTGGTGTGGTTTATTTCTATATTTATCAAAGTGAATCTTCAGTAAATAAATTCTTTTGTTTTTTTTATTCTTCGATAATAAACGAGGTTATTTTTCTATTTAATATCTTTTGTCTATTCAACAACTGTTTTCTTTAAGGCTTTTTCTCGGAATCGAGTGATATATTGCAATAAAAAATTTTCTTTTAATATTATTCTACGCTTTTCAAAACCCATATTTCATCATTTTGAATTCGTTGTCAATCTTTCGTTTGTATATTATTATGTCACGTAGTTAAGGCTAATTTTTTCAGAATATCTTGAATGATCCAATACTCTAGACTGGAAGGATAGGGCCTAGAAACGGGAATTATCTGTTTACATGTATTATTTTTATCGGTAATATGGCACAAATGACCATTTTTTTGGCGCAGATAATCATGTAACTATGGCATATTTTTGATAATATAATTTTATTTGCTATTATCGTCTTATTCGAATAGCATAATATTTAATATATAATATTTTATTGAATAAATTAAAATAACGAGGCAACGCCAATTTTACTTTTAATTTGGAGGAAGATGAACATAATATTAACAGCAAAAAAACGGAACGTTCGTATGCACAGAGTATTATAAAGCTTTGAAAAAAATGTTCGCCTATTTCTATATGAGATGTCATTTATCATCATTCACAAATATTTTTAATGCATGTTTGAAGGAAACAATGATGTGCCGAAACGTCCTGTACGACGACTCAATAAAATGAGACTCACGATTGAAAGCTTAAAAACATACGCATTGTAGTTTGATCATATTAAAAGTCTAGTTAGTGCATTATTGCAAGACATTTTAATAAATTTGTAAGTTTAATAGTCTTGCTATAGTGCATATAGATAAAAGAGTTCAAAATCAATTTTGATATATAATGATAAAAAGATCTCCATTATAGTTTTTTTTGAAATCCTACTTTTTATAAAATTGACTGTAATAAGCTAAAGCATTTTTGAACTTTATAACTCATTCGTGAAATATGAAACTTTTAGAAAATGCTTGATTTTATATAAGGTAGAACTTCAATTTGATTTTCTACTAAAAGTCAAAACTAATATTGATTAACTCTCATTCGTATCTAAATACAATTATATCAGCATGCAGACCGTGACAATCTAGGACCAAGTGAGTCGAATTTCGATGAACGCTACTTGTATATATCTGACAGATAAATATAAACTCTAATAACGTTCAGAGTTTTATATATTTTTATTATGTGAAATCAGATCGCTGAACAATGAAACGACTCATCTAATTTCATGTTAAATATGAGGTAGTCATTATGCTGTAGACCATAAAATATGCTTAACATTCGGCAAAATCAAATTTTGGATTAGACAGTGATGCCCTTTTGTTGGTTAATTTATTTAGTAATCAAAAAATTCGAAAGAAAGAAACAATACCGAAAAGAACTCTTTTGCTGTGCTAACGTGATCGATAATAGGCCTGATGCAGTCTCCATAAAGACAGATACCTGTCTGCTGGTATCACATAATGAAAAGTAACTCCTCTTCCATAACCTTGCGGGCGAACTTGCAAACCATCTCGAGAAGTGAAATGATCGGGAGGTTGAGAATTAAACTCTTTTCTATCTAATGGTTTTATATCAGTTTTACTGGTTATGCAGCGAGGTATGGATTGATCAGGATAGCCGTCCACATTCGTTCGATAGCATGAAAGAATAAATGGTGGAAATCTTTCGAATAATCCTCTTGAAATAACATAACCTGCACCACCACAAAATGCTCCTCCACACTCTTGCCCAATCATGAATGATTCTTGAGGATTATATTCTGCAACTAATAAAGCTAAGTTAGGCGGCGAAATAAATGTATCATCATCCAGCACCATAATCCATTGTACTTCAGCACCATCTGCACTCTTATTTAATTTGTCAATGATCATTTGTAAGCCACGTGTGTATTTTTGATAACTCCAAGCTGTATTAACAGGTCTCGGTGTTTCTGGTACAACAACATCATAGATCGGTATTCGACTATCGTTTGATGATTCACCAACAAAAAAGAGTCGCGAAGGATGAATAGTGACACCAAATGTGCACATCATAATATCACAACGAGATCGTAAATGTTTATCACCAGTCGTAACCATGTATACAATATTTCCAGGTAATCGGCCAGGTGGATAAAAATCACCTTGTTTCCAATAATTGTAATCTTCGTCTGTCCAACAATCCGATATGTTTTTCGTATGATGGCGAATTAAAGTATTGAATACACGTTTTGGTAATTGTGGTGACACGGTTGTACGTGAAGAATTTTGTTGATGAACATAAGAATTGACAGTTAAAGGATATTTTCCGAGATAAATGAAAACTGCAATAGTTATTATGGTTGCAACCATACTAATAATCATGAATCGTCGTTGATTTTGTCCCTTTGTTAATGCAAGTAATGGTATTAATGGACTAGTTAATTTATTTTCTACCATTTTTTTATCGGCAGAATAACAGAATTGTTACACTAAATGAAAAACTAACATCCGAACAATATATAGATTTATAATAAATTATAATTAAGGCGGCTGACTGCATGAAGTGCAGCAGTCGACTTATTGCTTTTGATATTCTTCTTCTTCTCCTTCGCGAAAGATGAATCCCGATTCAAGTCTGTCACTCGTTCTTAGCACCTAAGCAACATTTTCAATCGGAAAAAAAGGTCGCCATTATCGTGAGAACGTGGTGAGTGCACATCTGAAAACCGTTGTTTTGAAATTCAGCTCCGTGCGGGAAATACATATTTTTAAAAAATTAATTAATAATACATGGTGATTTCCTTATATGGTTATCTATGATTCAGTGCTCTACGACCATTGATATATGAAATACTACATGTATATGCATATACATCTTAATTATCGTTTTTTGTGACTTGAATCCATCATGATAGAGTCAAATCTATGAAAAGTAACTATTCGATGGTTTGTTCATCTGAGTTTAATTAATTGATTTTGAGGATAAAATAAAACAAAATTTTAAACGATTCAGCCTT